GAAGCTGCTTTTCGTTCACTGGTATTCGATAGCAAACGGAAACTTCCAGTCATCTACTTTAAAGTAGATCTAAGACGGCATCACTTTCTTCGGTTTTGTTCTCTACACGCAATTTTTTGGCTGACATTTTTCTCCTCTCATAGACTAGATTTCGAGCTAATTAAGGTAGTTTATAAAAAGTTCGTTCTGTGAAGAAATTACCTTTCTGCTTGGGGAAGTATATTTTGCTTGCGATATAATGTGACAATAATCTAATTGCTATATCTAAAGAACACTGATAAAGACTTTTGGTCCTTGTGTACTTCAGTGCGCAAAGTTGTTCTTGTGTGTTACGAAATAGGACATTTGTTGCTGTAAGCAGAGGTCATTGTAGCTTAAAATTGTCAAATTTTGTTCTTGTCATTTCCTTACAAAAAGCCATGTACGAATAGCCTGAAAAGTACAGTGGACTGATGAATCTATTTTTAACTAACGTTGTCATGGTAGATTGCATTTAGTTGTGTCACACACAGACGAATTAATTTTTACACAGTGAGATTTAATCCTACCTTGGCTATGTGTAATTTGCAGTCATTACTTTCGTGACGTCTATCAACCACACCAGGGCACGGTTGCATATTTTGCTTCTACCCATTTCCTGGCTGGTTGCATCGCAACTGTTGAAGTAATATAAAATTTGGTATCATAAGTGAGCATCAAAATCAGAATGACATTCCCCTATCACTTATATGATTTTACACAGCGTACTGCATCGTCTCATCACATAAAAGTTTAGGGAACCGTTTACCTAGTCCACGACTACATGATATTTTGATTTTGGAGAGTATGGGCACAAAACAGCACCGTTTGCTGGATCGAACAAACATGTGTTCGAACTCGAAAGAGAGTACTTCAGTTCTTGCGCATGTGTACCAATAATAACAGTCCCGGAGGGTAGTAGAAGCAAAAATAAGGTGCTCTACTCTGTATAAATCTGGTAGTGAAAGTGACAGGAGAATATTATTCTTGCAGCGATATTAAAAACGAAGTTTTCTAACATCCATTGCTATCATTATCATTAGCCTTTGTCGATCCATTGCTGGGGTCTCCAAGACTTCGCAGTAGACTGCTGTTAGTTTCATCGTTCTTGATCCAGTTCCAGCAGTTTTTCAGCTCATTCTGTCATCGATTTGCAAGTGCTGCTATTAGTTGTTTGCTCTTCCTCTCTCGTGGAGCCCGGTCTAATGACTATAATCCAGCGATTATCGACCGTGCAACATGTTCTGCCCATTGCCACAAGCATTTTCATCCGAACAGTGACATTTCCTCACTATATGTGCTCTTGCCCATTCGTTCGTTTTCCTGACTTTTCTTGTTATTCCCAGTGTGCATCTTTCAGTGTTGTGTTGCGTGATCTGCGGTGTATGAATAGCTTTCAGATGTAGGATCCACCTTTCGCAGCAATAGGTTTTCACTGAGAACACACACTGATAGAAAAATTTCCGTTTCAAGCACAAGACCTGTTTTCTGGATAGGAACGAAAAACATTCTTCAAAATGTGCTCAGTGCCATTTTTATTCTTCTGATTGATTTCGCATAGACAGTTCTCCCTTGCAAAGATGAGTTGTTTCAGATAAGCCTAGTTTTGTACTTCTTCAAGCCAAAGTTCGTTGATTATAACAAGTCGCGCTGTCATATATTTGTGAAACATCGCCGGAGTTATCTTCCAGTTTATTTTAAGTTCTGCTTTAATGCTGGTTTCATTCAATTCAAGTTTTTTAGAGAAGTTCTGACGAACTCATAACATTGGGATTTATTTGTAGTACAGTGCTATTAATTTGAATCCATTTCCACTTTAAATGTATTCTTTCAAACTGTCGTATTTCTCAGGCTGTGAGATCAGACGGTTTTCTGGTCATGCTTAATCGGTATCATTTTCGCCCTCACTTTTCAGGTCGTTCGATGGTTTATGCTCGTCCAATTTACATCATATTTGTTCATCCAAACTGCTTCATTGCCAGTTTGTGAGGTAACGGTGACCACATAATGTACGTTAGGTTGCCATTTAAATAAATAAATTCAGAGACTGAATAAAGCCCTGGTTTATTTGGTTTTTCATAATTGAATGAATGGATTTTTGGTAATAACAATGTGCTTTTAGCTCTTTTGCGCATGCAGTGATTCCGGACTTTCAACCGTACGAAAACAGATTCACATTTTGAAGAATCGGTAAGAATTATTGATGTTTTTGGTGGCCCTTCATTACTAAACTTTTCAGCCGGTGCCTGGAAAACAGAAGCAGAAATAAAGTCTTTGAAAAGCTCGCAAGTAAATGAACGTTTACCACATACTGTTATGCTATTTAATAGAAGTTAGGTAGCGATACCAATACCTAAAGCAGTTGTAAAATCATAGAGCAAGCTCTGAGCTGTGAATTGCAGCGTTCAACCGAGTGAAAGACTGTACTTAAAAGCACCACAAAGCCGGGTTCATTTATTACAACGGAAACAGTTTGGTTGATTGATGATTGATGATTTACTATTATCAGTGTTTCGGGCGTATCTTACGGGATTTCTTCAACGTAGAAAGGCAGGCGACTTCTGAAGTATATTTTATGGTTTGTAGCAATTTGTACGTTCAGAGCCAGAAGACTAGATTTTCGTCCATGCTGCCGATTAACTAGTTTTCTAGGCAGAGTGCAAATCACTGGTGACGGTTAACGTTGTCGCAAGGCTGGATGAGTAGCGTCTCTATCAAATAACGACAGCGAATATCGCTATTTGACTATGGCATTCTTTTTACAATTTACTTATGTAGCTTTGTGAAATTTCATAAGCCAGTATATCTTTTGCAGGTAATTATTCATTCATATTACTTACTGACCTAACAACTGTCAATTTAGTTATTGTCTATTCGTTAGCTTATGCTTTCAAATTCATGTCATAATTTCAGATCGACTAGATACGTTTTCGTACGAATGGCATCTGAAGTCATTACTGCCTCTTTAACTTCGGGCGAATCTCGGGAAAGTTGTAATGGCAAAGTTTCCCCTGATGAATGTGCATGCAGCAGCGGCCGACATTCTCCTGCTAGTCCCCCGGTCGATGAAAAAGAGACTTTCTCAGGGCCGAACCTTCGATTGGAGAAGCGTCTCTTTTCCTCTGGTAGTGGTGCCAGATTTCGCAACCGTACTTTCTCTGGTTCCAGCTGTGAGGATCGTGTGATGCGGTTTAATGGCAAAGTAAGAGTTAAATCAATAAATTTTCCTGCGGTTTATATGCATGAATTAATGATAGGTAAATTGATTGATTGAAATTGTTAAACTCGTCGGTAAAGACGCGAAATCAGCATTACAATCTTTGCGCCAACGATCTATGGCCGCAGGCGATGGCGGCGTTGAATTTCCGAGAAATTATTGGGCCTGCTCGGGCAAGATGTTTTAATTATATGTCCCTTTATGGGCTGCCACTAGGCAGGCGATGATGGCACTCTGTTGCGAGTGTTTCTTAAAGGGCAGAAAAGCAAAACTAATTTTGGTTATGAATTTCGCAAAGCATTCTGGAGTAGCAGAAGTAAATGAGAAATG